AGAGACGCAACCTTAGGGCAATGGGAGAGGCTCAAGCAGATCCAACTACATTTGCAGTGCATTTTTGAACCTTGTCTAAAAGAGAAAGAGCATTATTAGAAGAACCAGCCTAAATATCAAAACAGCATTCTAGACAGGGGTGAATAAGAGATTCGTAGAGGTGGAAAAAGCAGGAGTGAGAGAGGTCAAGTTAGCAATTAATTGTTTGTATGGTTTTCATGAGAAGTCAGTAGTGAATAACAATGACTAAAATAGCTCTGTGATGTTTATTTTTTTGTTTTGACCTATTTAAGAATAATATTAACATGTCTTTCTTTTCTTTAGAATTAGATTTTAGAATAATATTAACAGATTCTTTCTTTTTGATGGTAAATATACTTAAAATTTGTAATTTGTCTAAAAAAATTTTATAATTAAACCACACAACTCCTATTGGTTTCTACACTGATATTTTTCTAGATTATCTAATTAATGATATGATCAGTGTAAAAGTCAGTTAATTCAATGTTTGACATGAATATATTACTGTTTATTAAAAAGAACAAGTTTATATTAATCTTGGTAATAAAGTAACACGACACTTAGCAGCCAACGTACCTAATGCACTACATACTACTACCAAAGTGGTCAGGGATTATTCTAGATCGCTTTCGACAGCGTTGATCGTATTTAGGTTCTGCCCAAATTAAAAATTTAGAATCTTTTTTTTATTTATATATTTATTTTACAGCAAGTATTGTTTTTTTTTGCAAACGAAATTTTCAGCAATATTTCTGCTAAATTTCTACAGGACAGGGGGTACCGCTGCCCAAAGTTTTTTCCTAGAATAGCTCCTGGTGGTATACCATAATATCATGGCTCATGATGTAAAGAAAGGTAATGCTTTTAAGGAAAAAAGCCAAATTGAAGCCAATGAAGAAAATTAAACTGATACTGATATGAAGGGTTTGTGTATTTTAATAAACTGTTATGGTTTCAAATTTCAATATCAATCAAGTATCAATCAAAATTTGTTCTTTATACATTAACAGAGTATTATCAATATATTTATAATACTCTGTGTGATACAGTTTGAAATGATTTGATGAAGCTATTTAAACCACCCATTGAATAGTTATGGCTTGCAAGATAACATATTTTTTTACATTGGTACTGCAATTAGAGATTATTCCTCAGAAATTGTCATCGCATGTTAATTTATATTATAGTAACTAAATTCTAATTTATCGAGTCAGTAGGTGAATTAACAATAAAAATATTTTTTAAAAAAAACCCAAATAAACTCAAATTGCAACTTAACTATATTTATAAAAATAATTCTGCACCTAACATAAATTAAATTTTCCAAATAAAATTCTTAAATATCAATATTGTCATATCTTTATATAATGCAATCTTCACAGTGAAGAATTCACTTGAATTCAATTATATATAGTTTATTTATAACTATATTTACTTTAAATGTACTTTTCAAAATGCTGTTACAAAATGAAAACTTATTTTTAATAGAGTTTAATTCACTATAAGTATCATCACAAAGTCCATTAAAGTTTACAAGTTTTTCTACACTTATTTATTTAAAAATAGAAGCTTTTTTCTCTAAAAAACTTTCAGTTTCAAAAAAAATTTCACTTAAATATCAAAAAATGAAATAAACAATAATAGTAAATTTATGGTACAATTTGTAGACATGTGGTACATTTATATTATTGTTTCTTGTCAATAGTTATTTTAATGGACACTATTTTAAATATAAATTAAATGGTCATTATACAAATGATGTAATTATAGTAACTATACTTTTGTGTTACTTGTATGATGATTGGTCAATATTAGAGTTCCATGAATATATATATATATATATATATATATATATATATATATATATATATATATATATATATATATATTATATATATATATATATATATATATATATATATATATATATATATATATATATATATATTATGTTGTTGTTTTTGGCATAACTTTATTTGCAATTTGTTCAAGTATTTTTAGTAGAGAGCATAAAAATAATTTTTTTTATAGAAAATTTATTTATTAGATAACGCAAAAAGCAAGTTATTATTTTTTAAATAAATTTTTTATAATGAAATATACTGGTATTATAACTTATTTTTGTTAAGATTTTGATGAGCTTTGATAGGTTTTATAAAAAAGTTAAAAGTTAATTATGTTTAAAAGATATTTACAATTAAATGACATATTTATTTCAAACACAAAATGCATAGATTTGTTATAATTATTAATTGCTAAACCATTGAAATAGGAGTTACTTAAAATTAAACTAAGCTATTATGAAAATGCAAGCGTACTTGGTTAAATCTTTATGGCATATAATTCAGATACATACAAAAAATTGTGTACAAAAATTGTATTAGTTTTTATAGAACTTCAAATTTAAATAAAACAGCAAACACACTATAATAATCTTATTACCTTATATTTATTATTCTATTTTTTATTTATTTATTTTTCGAAAGAAGCACTTCGTGCAAAAGTTGTGTAGTTCTCTTTTTCTAAAAACGAAATACCAATGTATACACGTAAATGATTGTAAAAAGTGTGACCATTTCTAAAACATTGCTTAAATAATGGTCGTGTTATAATCCTGCATGGAATAAAGGTTCTAACTTAAGTCCTTTGTCTCATCAAAATTTTTGTGACAAAACTTATGATTTTATTTACCGGAAATTATTATTAAAAAACTGCCTAAAATAATTAATATCAACCATAACTTATTGGTCGCTTCACGACTTTTTAGAGTAGTTTTGCTCAAATGAGTTCACCTGATCATTTTATATATATTTATTATAATAAATATTTATGTCAACTATTTTAAACCTAATAAAAAGAACGTTACTTCAGCTAATTTTTATATTACAGCAAAAATACTTCAAATACTTCTGATAAAAAGTAGTTCAAGTATGTTGTGATTATTTAAACTTATTAACACATCATTAGTCGCACTAGAATAGGCGTTTTAAAAGTTAACAATTGGATCTCATGGATTACTGATGATACTTTGAAACTATTAGGCTTATGAGTTTGATTTATTTTAAATAAATTCTTTTATTTATAAATCAAATTTATTATTTCAAATTAGCTTTGAATTTTTTTTTTTTTTTGTCTTCGTTCAGCACAAGGCACCACTACTCAACGGTTGGGACAGACGCAGGCCTTATCACAGGGGATCAGCAGGAGCACTTGACTCGGGTCTCCACTCTAATAAGAGCCTCAACTTTTAGGGCCTTTTTTTTTTAAAAAAAAAACAACCTTAATACGTGCTCTAATGATTTATATGTTTATAATATAGTTAGTGCATTTTTAGTTATTTAAAATACATTCAAAATAATTATTCGGTTTTGTTCGAATGTTATTCTTGTCTTTATATACTATAATTTGGCAAATGGCAAACGTCTTTTTTTAACGAAAAAACAAAAACAAAAAAATATTTGGTAAAGTAAAGAAATAGAATAAGAATAGAAAATGCGTATAAAGAAAAAAAAGAAAAGGTTTTGAAAGAAAGAAGAAAAAAAAAAAAAAAATCGAAAGTTCAATTATGAAATAATATATCAATTGAATCGTGATCTGAAAAAACTACACTTGTCGAACTTTGCATATAATGATGATGGAAGGTACTAAACCATTTTATGATGTATGGTACTATGTGGCACTATGTACCATAGTACCTTACATCATCATTAAATAAATGGTTTTCACATGGTCTGTTGAAATAACTTGTTTTTTTCACATGTATTGTTTTTATAGACCACTCACACTCACCAGAATCTGAAAGTAAAAACTAAAATATCTTAGAAATGGAGAACCTTTTTTTTTCTTTATTGCGAAACCCGTATTGTTGGCTCTAACGATCCACTGGTTTTGACTGCAAGTACAGGTTGGGTTAACATTAAATTATTGATCAAACAATTGCACTTGGCTCTATATCAAACGCATTTATTCGTTTAATAGTTTTAACGCGACGTCCCATCCCAAACAAGACGTCCCAGCCAACACATCGCGTTGAGTCAATGTCGGAACAGCATTGGCCTAACGCTTCTGACGTTGTTTTAACATTGGCCAAAAATAGTTTGTTATGTCAGGTGTGTTAAAACGGATTGTTTGCCTTTGAAAAAAAATCAGAAAATTCTACTAAACGAAGATTTGCGAACCAGCGTATATATTATCATAGGGAAACACAAAATACCGGCTTCGAAGAATAATAAATTTTATGATTTATGAAAAGACACCAGAAGATATAAGAGAGATAAAACACTAGAAGATATAAGAAGGATATAAAATAGTTCTAATGCAATATTAGGAGAAAAAAAAATTGCCTCCTCCAAACATTCGTGTTCAGGAATATATATAAGGCAGCTATAGGTTTTTATTTTAGTCTTTTTATTCTTTTATTTTTGCTCGATTATTTAAAGAACGGATTGCTACTATTTTACCAGCATCCAAACAACTTTTCCAAAAGAAAAAGCATATCGATCAGCAAGATACTTATCAATAGAAAAAAAATTAATGGTAATAGTAAATAAATCTTGACAAATGTAATATCTAATTATGTTGAAGAGAAAAATTTATGGATTTTACTTTTTGTGCTGTTCTTAATTAGGAGAAGTTTCTGTACCTAATTTTTTAATTTATCGCGCCTAAATTTTTAATTCCTCAATACAAGGCCTTTGGTTGTTTTAAAATGATGAAACTGATTTAACCACATCTCTACAATAATCAATTGCAATTGATATAACCATAATGATTTAAAATATTAAACTCTACCGTGTAGAAAAGTTTGAAAAGTTGAGGCATTGGTTACAATGAGCTTTTTTTTAAAAAATTTTACTACTCGCTTTTTTATCTAGATTCGCACTCTGAAAATTACGATAAACTTCATAATCAATTAATACTCATTAAGCAATTAAAAGAAATAAATTTTATTGAAAAAAAAATTTCTTATTAGGTTTGAAAAATATAATTATTTTCTGAATTTACCTTGTGTTATATTAAGTGTTTAAGCATATTAAACATTTTTAAAAATGGTTTTAATGAAACCAGAGATTTTTAAAAAAGAATATAGATTGAATATAGATTTATTGTAAATTTATTGATAAATATTCAATTAATCTATAAACAATAGGGCTTGCTGGAACTTTTCTGTTTGTCACACTTAAACTCAAGTATTTATCATTGTGTAATTAGTTATAATTAAAAGATTAATCACCAGACACACAAAAACCTGCTAAAATGTTTAAAGAAAAAAACCTGATCGAAAACTTATCAATGTTTTCTGCAACATCATAAATGGTAGTTGGCATTCCTGAGATTCATAGCATATGATTAACTTTAGACATTAAGTATATAAAACTTTATAAAGCTGAATATACTTAATGTCTACTAACAAAAAACTTATCAGCTTTTAACATTTATGCTTAAAGTTAATACAAAAATAACGCTTTACACTTTTAGTTTGTAATTCATAATGAATAAGCACAGATACTTAACCAGATACTTATATTCAGCCCAATGGTTTTTTATCCGCAACTGAGTTTTCAAATATATATATATATATATATATATATATATATATATATATATATATATATATATATATATATATATATATATATATATTTTATCCGCAACTGAATTTTCTAAACATATATATATATATATATATATATCATATATATATATATATATATATATATATATATATATATATATATATATATATATATATATATATATATATATATATATATATATATATATATATATATATATATATATATTATATGAAGGGATTCAGGTTCTTATTGATTATGCTTTTGACTAATTATTTTAATAATTATTATTATTATTATTTTTTACAAATTCATAGACATTTTATTTTTTATTTTATTTCTATTTCGTAACTTTTTATTTTACTTTTTCAAAAGAAAAGTTATAACGTTATAACCAAGCCCTATGAGAGGGGTGCATTTGGTGTGCATTATGGGCCCTGGTGCATTATGGTGCACCAGGGCCCATAAGAGTTTAGGGGCCCATGAACAATATATAATATATATTGTTCATAGGCCTTTTTTTGAAAAAAAATATTTACATATATTATTTTTAAAAATATTTATATATATTATATATACACCGTGACGTGAGGGATGTCCTCAATTAAAACAGACCAGTTTCTATCATTTTGGGAGTTGTGAGGTTGTTGAAAAACGAAAAGTTTTTCATCAGAAAACATAATTCCATTGCCTCCGTACCAGGCCAAAATGTTTTTTGCTTTGTCGACGCGTTTACGTTTTGATGCTATGGAAACTCCATGAACTTTACGTTTTTGGAAAGGCTTCAACTTCAAATCCTTTTCTAAAATAATTTGCACTGTTTCACAGTTCATTCCAAGATCTTTTGCTGCTTTCTTGGAAGATCAAGCAGAATTTGTCAAATTTGTTCACTGATAATTTTGATGGCTTCTAAAATACTTACAGAGCGTTTGCATCCCAATCTTGGGCGGTCAGTGGTAGTACACGTTTCCTGGAAGCGTTTAATGGTACGATAAACCATATTTCTGGTGACTCCATCACTTTTCAGGGCTCTAAAAATGTCCCCACCAGACTTTCCTTAATTTAAAAAATAAATCTTTCGATAATTATTTCTCTATACACTTTCATAGCTAGAAATATTATTACTATTAATTTAAATTACAAAATCAATTTGCATTTTACAATTAGATAACAAAAACTCTTCTGCAAAAACTCGAAAAATATGGAGTAAAAAACATCAACCTAAATTGGTTTCAAAGTTACCTTAAAAATAGAAAACAAGGAGTATCTTATACCACATCTTGTTCAAAGCTAGAAACAGTTAGTTGCGGAGTTCCTCAAGGCTCTATTCTTGGACCCCTACTGTTTCTAATCTATGTGAATGAGATATACCGTTCCTCAGATATGCTTAACTTTATCCTTTTCGCAGATGATACTACTATTTTTTACTCCGAATCCAATATTAAAACAATTTTTACCATAGTAAATCGTGAGCTGACAAACCTGGAGGATTGGTTCAAAGCAAACAAACTCTCTTTAAATATTAGTAAAACTAAATATGTTTTATTTCATAAGCCATCTAAGTCAGATAGTTTGCCTCTTCAACTTTCTCAGTTAGTCATAAACAGAATTATTGTAAAAAGAGTCGTGTCAATGAAAATTCTGGGAGTAATATTTGATGAACATCTTAATTGGAAAAGTCATATTACGCTCGTTGAAAACAAAATTTCTAAAACAATAGCCATTATGTATAAAACAAAACACCTACTAAGTAAAGCATTAAAGAAAATATATATAAAACAAAAACAAGCCAGTAGAGTTATATGTAATATGCGTAAATGTGCCCACGCCAAACCGTTACTCCGTGAAATCAAAGCTTTAAACGTCTATGAGTTAAATTAGACCAAACCTATTATTTATGTTTAAATATCAAAACGACATGCTTCCTAAATTCTTTAACAATCATTTTTCAATTATTTCTCATAAATACTTAACGAGGTGCTCTATTCACAATTTTAACTTACCTAAGTCAACATTAAAAAAAACAGATTACTCAATTTCATTTAGAGGACCTCGTCTATAGAACAGAATTCTTGACGACAAAATGAAAAGTATAACCTTAATACAATCTTTTAAAAATGTAGTTAAACATAATTTGCTCGACTTAACAGATACAAACATACTTTTATATTTTTAGTTTTAATATTTAATTTTTTTTTTGCTTTTTACTTTACTTTTGAAGTATTTTTATCTTATTACAATAAAGTTTATATTTATTTGCTTTATATAACGAGTATTTGTATATAATGAGATAATGACACAAAAAAAATGTAAATAATTATTATATATAGTTTATTTCTATATTTTACTTTAGAAGTCTTATTATAGTATAGCTATTTTTAACTTGCTATATAAAATGATTATTTATGTTTTTGTTGAAAAAACTTGTAAATCTAATCTTTTAAATTTCTTTACTTTATTTATTTAATTAATTATATAGTGAATATAAATTATTATATTTTATATATTATGGATATTTTGTAAAAAATATATCACGCAAGTTGTAAGGGCTTGACGACAAGACTTATGTCTTCTACTTGCTCCTGTCATTTTTTATATTTTGATTTATTTTATTAAACTTGGAAACGAGAACATTGTAAAATGCTTATATATGACGAAATAAATAAATAAATAAATAAAAAAAAACATACCGGTACTTTTAAATATTTTCTTGATGAACAGTAAATTGATAAAATAACGGAAAATTGTTAACACAGGGTTGTACAGGAATATATTTGTCACGGAGCGTAAAATGAATTAAATAAATATAAATGTTTACTTCTTTTCTTTAGTTTATATATTTCTTAAACATCATAGATTTTAAATAATGTTATTAACAATGATTTATCGATTTAATATGCAATATTAAATTATTTCATCTCAATCTTTAAAAAAAAAGTTTTTTCAACAATTTATTACTTTGTTCATTTCCTTTTACAAATATGATTGACTTAGATAATGATTCAGATCCTGGGCCTGGTACTACAGAAACTTTGAAATTAAGTAATGATTCACTTCACCAATAAAGTACAAAACTTGACAATGGATTCATCACAGCAGAAAATTTTTTTTAATCAGAAACAAATAATTTTATTACAAGAGGTCATATTAACTTTTCTTTAAAATTGCCAAAAGATGATAATAATCAAAAATTTTCAGCGTGTATATTAAAGTTTAGAAACATTAATGCAGAACAGCGTACCCGAGACTGTCTTGTACGGAGCAGGCATTAAACTTCTTTATATTGATAATTATTTATAATTATCAATATAAAGAATTATTCTTGTTACTTTATAATTATTGATGTAATATTTTCCTTGTCGGTTATTTTGGAACAGTATCTGTCCCAAGCTAAGTATTGCTTCCAAATCTGCATTTACTACAGCTAAAGACTGGCGAGCGATTTCTAATTGGCGGAAGTTATTTAACAGGATCATGAAAAAAGTAATAGGCTTAGAGAATGCCCATTACTTTTTAATTAATCTAGAATAGCGTGAATTTTAATAACATCTTTTAATGCAAGGCGGTATTGATAACTTTATTGAATCATCAATTAAAGTATAATCGAAAAAAGTGCTTTTGTATAATAAATAATGTATACAAAAATGAGTTTGAAAGCTATAACGCAACAATAGCAAGATTTTTTGTTATTTTAAACCTCAGATAAATTTGAATACTGAGATGCCAAGAGGGCTAGAAAACCTAAAATGCCGGAAAACCAAAAAACTACGTTAATTGACCTTGTATCTCAGACTTCAAAACATTCGCAATTGTATCTGAGACTTCAAAAATATCCGCAAGTGAATTGAAAGGAACAGTAAAACTATCTCTTGAGAAAGCATTTGCAGATATGAACAAATAGTTATATTGCTTGTATCTGTATCAAGTATAGATTTGCAATGATTCCAGCGGGCACAGACGTCTATACGACGTCTTATGAACGTCACAAATCAAGTCGAACTTTTTTACTCGCTGGGATTGTATTTGCTTTTTGTTTTCAATTTCTTTGATATATAGCCAGTAATTGTTAACTCTAAATTAATTTTTTTTTGTTTGTTTCAACAAAAAAATTGCTGGGTAGGAAATTTTTTTCTTAAAACAAGAACATATTTTTTGTTTTAAGATTCAAAGCAAAATCGTTAACTCATTGTTCAAAATCAAGTAACTTATTTCTTTATATATATATATATATATATATATATATATATATATATATATATATATATATATATATATATATATATATATATATATATATATATATATATATATATATATATATATATATATATATATATATATATATTAGAGATGTGTCGGAGTACCTGGCACCAAGTCCATATTAAAAAGGTAGAATAAAAGCTTGAAGGCACTGAGTTGTTATCACAAAATAACGCTGATTAATTTGCCCAATTAAATCAATAATAATTAATAGATTGTTAATATTTGAAATAACTTGCCATCTTACGTTATTAATACCAAAATCATCAAGAGCTTTAAAATCAAAATTAACTTCAAAAAATACTATTCCGGCTAACTAATTTTCGTTTTATAATTATGGTATTATATATATATATATATATATATATATATATATATATATATATATATATATATATATATATATATATATATATATATATATATTTTTTGTTATTATTGCTAATAATTGCTAATATGCGCTAATTAATTAAAAATTATGTTATGGAAATAAAAGATTAAGAGAGACAGAGAATTGTAAATTAAAAAAAAAAAGAGTAGATCTTTTTATTTTATTCACGACTGTCGTGTGAATAAAATAAATAAATATTTCTAGTGAGATGCGTCTATATTAAGTAAATAGTGCTTTGTGGTTATTGACTTTATATTAGTACTTGTACTATTGTAAATTTCCTTGAAATGTTATAACTTATTTCGAAATATATTTGATTTGATTTGAATTGATTTGATTTGACTCTTTATTACTATTAACTTATATCAAGAAGTTATTAGTTGAAGTCAAATCTAAAAGCAATCCTGCTAACAATATTTCGATACAATTTAAAGTACCACCTAAACATATAGTTACAGCATTTGAGGTAAGTTTTATTAAAGATTTCTTTTAAGATACCCGGTACCGGGTACTGCAAAAAAATGGCCGATTCCGGGTACAGAGGAAGACAGTCGAATTACCGGGTCCCCGGGTCCTAATCAAATACTCGCCACAAGTCGGTTACCGTTAGATACCAATCTTACGGTTACTGATTCACTTCGTTATAAGTGTCACTTTTTTTCATCTATTGATCACCTTCCTGTAGATTTTAAATCATTCGTTGTTGAAAAACTTGTTTGTGCAGGATGTAAATCCTGTTATATTGGCGAAACTTCTCGCCACTTAAAGACACGAATGGTTGAACACTACAGAAAGGGTAAAAACTCTCTTATTTAAAAGCATCTTCTCTCAAAACAAAAATGTTTTACTAATAATAGTGATGAATACTTTTTGACTTTGGATCGTGCAAATAACAAAATTGAGTTAAAAATTAAAGAAAGCCTTCATATAGGATGGGAAAAACCCGAATGAACAAGCAAATCATGTTGAAATGACTCTTATCATTTAAAATAAATAACCGATTTTTTTATTATATTTGACATTTGTTAAAAAATTTTTGAATAATTTTTTTTGTATATCGAGAAAGTTTGTCATCAAATTTATGGCTTTTATTATCTTTATTTTTACATTTGTACACTATACTTTATACCGTTTTGAAAAAATATATTTTAACCGATAATGACTATATATAGTTGAAACATGTCTCAAAACATGTCTTGTATGCATTATTGGGGTGGCTGTTATTTGCATAAGTAGCGAAGTTAAGGACTTCTAAATATTTTTTCAACAATAAAATTGGGCCACACCAAAGTATAATTTTGGATACCTTATCCAGATTAATTACAATTTAGAGAACACAATTAAAACCAAACGAAAATTTTAATTTATACCCATTTTTCAAGCCAAAGAGTTAGTTAAATGTTTTATATTTTCAGCAAGAGTATTTAAATATTTTCACCAAAATTTATGACTTCAGTTCCCAGAACAGGGAGAAACGCTATTAACAAATGATCCCATCCCACCCCAACACCACTAAGTTAAATTTTTTATTTTAATGTAAAAGCCTAATTTTTTTTTATTTTTATTTTAAAAATCTACAGTTCTGTATAAAATTTAGTTCCACTAAATTCATTATGTCCGATGTAACCATTTTTATCTCTATCTTCTTCTTCAAGAATTTCTCGCATCATTTGTCGAAGCCCATTTGAACCGGTAGTTTCTTTTACGCCGGTTCCTTTAAGATGCAATTGAATTTCATCCGCTGATAAATAACCGTTGGTATCTTTATCGATTATTGCAAATGTATTATCTCGGCGAGGAGCGTTTGCAACAGAATGGAATGACAAAAGCTCCACAAAAAAGTACAAATTTACTCTAGAAGGCAGACTTCCTACACCGTTACTTCCGTATGCGTGTTTAGGAGGTACTGAAAGGTGACGAATCTCTCCTTTACACATGTCTAGTAGTCCGAATTCGAAACCATCAATCATCTGCCCTTCACCAAGTACAAACTCGAGTGTTTCCTTCATATACCTTTTTATTTAAACAAATTAACCCATTTATTTGAAGAACACTTTATAAATTATAATAATTGTAATAAATGTTATAACTATTAAACTAGTAAATAAAAAATAATAAATTAAATAAAGTAAAATAAATTTGAAAGTACACTTTAGTTTATTTAATATCCAATTTAACCAAGTTAAACTGCGTGTATATACTGTAAGAAAATTTGATGATAGCGTCACAAATACCATTAAATGATAGCCACACTCGATTTATGGAATGGCGGAAATTTGGGAAATATATAATGTTTATTTTAAACTTTTAAATATCTTCAAAATAACCATTATAGTCAAGCTTACCGATCATCAAACACTGTTTTATCTCCAAGACTTCCATTAAAATGCACTTTTAGGAGGTCGCCATTTTGTGTTGTTTTTTCACACAATGTTGGTCTTGAAACTATACCTATTCCAATGCCATCGAACTCTTTTGATCCATCTGGATGGACTATATATCGAGATCCTTCAACTGTAATAAACAAACATATCAAACTTTGTAAAAACATTTTGAACTCTTCCTTAAATACCAACTATCAAAAAAGATAGTTATTAGAAACTGATGAGAACAACACGTACGAAAACATTCTTATTCCTAAAAACATCGTTGCTTAACAACTACAAAAATCGAAACAATAAAACAACGAATATGTCAAAACTAATAATTATTATAATTTATGACAACTTTTTAATTAAAAGTGTTTATCTTCCTTTAAATATCATTTTAATAACGTTTTTCTTTATATTTTTTTTTAGTATTATTTGGTATATTAGTTAGTTAAAAAAAAAAGTAAAATCTGTAGGTACAAAAATAAAACATAAAATAAAATTTCTTTATAAAATATAAAAACATTTTTTCATTTTAAGATTTTTTGTTTGTTTTATACTTATAATAAGATTTTGTTTCTAATATTTTGGAAATACTTTTAATTAATAAACTAATATTTTGGAAATACTTTTAATTAAAAAAAACATTTTGTATTTGCTCATAAATTTTAAAGTAATGCGTAAATTTTGTAATAAAATTAATTAGCTATAGTTGTATTATTCACAAAAAGAGCTGATTTTCTCAATCCGTGGAAAGAGGATATCCAGTGCACGCGATAGGATAAAGATTAATCATCTTCCACCTTTAAACAATTTAAAATGTATTCTACAAAAAGAGTGCTCAATGTTCTTAAAAGAACAGAGCAATTACAAATTAGTAGAAAATCACTTAGATTTTTGCTAAGTGATTTTCTACTAATATATATATATATATATATATATATATATATATATATATATATATATATATATATATATATATATATATATATATATATATATATATATATATATATATATATATATATATATATATATATATATATATATATATATATATATATATATATATATATATATATATATATATATAAGGGGTGTTCATTTTTCATCAATTTTGTTTTTTTTACATGTATGCAGGCTTAAAAGATGGGCAATTACAAGTTATTTTAAAATATATTTTTTATTAAAAAAAAAAAGGATTTTAACACCTTGTGCCAACTTACGCCATTTTTTTCTAATTTTAAAATTCTTACTAGTTATCAAATATTTAATTGTGAGACCTGATTGTGCTACAGACATGTATACGACATATTTTATAGTTAACCATGTCCACTTGACGTGTGAAAAAAATTGAGTTGTTATCTCTATTGGATCATCTTGCGCCAAATGATTTTTCAAATTAAAGCAAAAAAAATATATAGGAAAATCAATCAACCGCTAAAAAGATTTTGGCGCAAATTGTTAAGTCCTAAAAATGTTATGCAAAGTCCTTAACAATATAAAACAATAACAATATGCATTTTAAATTTAAAATATATATTTGCATATCTTGTCTTTAAAGTCTGTGTAGGGGTCAGAGCCCTAACTTTAATCTAAGTGCAGTTAACCATTTTATGATGCTATATAAATAATACTTTTGCCCACAGGCTTTTTTTGAGTACAAGTACAAGATTCAATATTATGAAAACAATCTAAATACTGTGTCGTTTAAGAAGCGTGAATAATATTCTTACAAATCAGTACCTATAAGTACATTTGTACTTAAGTTTTTTATGCATGTTTTATTCAATTATTTTTAATCTTTTTTTCTTAATGTTTTTTTCTTAACTTTCATAAATGCAGTTGGTAAGTCATGGACTTACCAACTGCATTTATGAAAATCTTTTTTTATCAAAACTTTCATGAGATAATTCAAATATTCAATTCCTTAGTTTAGTTTAACTTTATAACTAAAAATATGAACCCCAAATACCTAGGGAATTCTTTTAAAAAATACTGAAGTTCAAAAACAAAATATGAAGAGAAGAGAAAGTAGTCGTGGAAAGGAATACTTCTTAGTCGGTAAACCAGCGAAGATGCCCTCAGTTCAACTTCCAACCCGGGCTGATATTATTAAGCATTTCCTCTACTTGATGGAAAAGATTGGTTTCTATTCAGAAAAAAAGCGACTTGTTGCTTCTTCTTTAAGTAACAGTTTCAGGTTACTTTATACAGTTTACCTTTGACAAGACTTAACATTATTTTAAAACATTTTACTAGCCGTTCGTAATTAATAAACTATGCTTTCACTAGTTTGAGTTTTTCTACATATATAAAATATATATATATATATAATATATATATATATATATATATATATATATATATATATATATATATATATATATATATATATATATATATATATATATATATATAATATATATATATATAATAAAAATAAATTATTTGTCACAGTGTGCAGTGTACCACTGCAGTTACTGCATGTAGCAAGGAATGTATTCTTTGGGGATTATGGTTTCAATGGCTAAGATCCGGTTTCCAAATGATTGAGCCAGTTACTCTGCAAAGAAATCTGTTTAAATATAATTATAGATATTTAAACCTTAAGAAGAGTCAGCATAAAGTTCAAAAAGGATATACTCAATCTCGTGCTGAGTGTGTTAGGACTGTAAGAGGTTAAATAATATTTAAATAAATATTTATTAGAACAATAATTTATAGTTCAGAGATTTCAAAGGAATGTATATTTTCAGGGTTGTTCTGGTTAAGTGATTCTAAAAAAAGTCTAATCAAAGCTATCAAAACAGACAAAAACAGGATTCCATCTGACAAATCGGAGGATTTACTTTTTCTTAGAGATCAGTTAGGAGAAAGAAAAATGACTCTGGGACACATTGGTAATCGAAGACTAAAAATTGAAAAGAGGAGAAAAAAACGTTGTGAGAGAACTTATGTACAAACTGCCAGCATATTAGTTGAGCCTAGTAAATCCAGAACTGCTGAAAATTTACTTGGATTTTTGTTTACGGAATCAAGTTCAGAGTCTGATGGAGAGAATACCTATGCACCTAATTTAAGAAACAGATATTATGGACAGACCATTACTCTTACTAAAGAGGATATTAAGGAAACCGTGAGAACAGCTATAGGAATGGATATATCAACCAGTAAAATAACTGCAACATTGATTAAGCTCATCACACAAGCAGGAGGTGATCCCGGTATGCAGCCGCTTTCGTACATCACAACATTTCGAAAAAAAACAAAACATAATTAACAAGGATGCAGACGATCTCAAGGATTTTATTCAAAATGATCAAGGTTACTAAATATAATGACAATAAATAGATAAAGTAGATGTATATAATAATTTGTTTAAATTATTAATCTTTTAATTCTTAATATAAAAATATTTCTAGGACTTAATACCAGCTCACAAAGATAAACCAGTTGACCGAATTTGCATTGTTTTGAGAGCTGGGGGTTAATCATCTGCTTGGAGCTCCAGGAGTTACATCTGGAATAGGGCTTAATCAGTTCATTGCTATCAAGAGCATTCTGACAAAGTTTGATATTGCAGATCATGTAAGAACTGTTTGTTTTGATACTACTGCAAGCAATACTGGAATGATTCGTGGTTTAATATACAGGTAATTTTATTACAAATGCTAAACGTAAACTAGATGCTCATTCAAATTTGCAATTTAAAATTTGAAGTTAATTATAAAGAAATGTGAACTATTTATATTTATAAATTATTCAGGCTAAGAAAAGATATTGGGAAACCTATGCTGATGTTTGCATGTAGAAATCATGTTTTAGAAATAATTCTTAAACATTTTTGAATGGCTGTAATTATTGAACAAACAAGTGGTCCTGAAAATGTTCTATGCAAGGGTCTAAAGGAAAAGGGGCATGGTTTGAATATTGTAAACTGGGTCACCGCCCACTTCAAGTGGCAATATTACCGTGGATATTGGCTAGAAAAGCAGGCAATTTGTGCAAAGAATCAGCTTAGGAAATTGTTGAAACTGGAGTTTTTAAAAATTGTCAGGTTGTTATTTGTTAAAGTTATCGTAAGATAAAATTAAATATAAGTTATATAAATAATAAATAAATATAATCTTAAAGAGTCAAACGAAAAGAGCTCATTATCATGAACTAGCCGAGTTGGCCCTCATGTTCTTGGATCCAGAAATTAAACCTACCCACATTCACAAGCCTGGTGCAGTTCATCATGCACGGTTTATGGCTAAGAGCATATACTACCTTAAGCTTTTTCTTAATCAGACTAAAGAGCTTTTGAATATGAACATGGAAAAGATCACAGAGGTAGAGAGAATGGCAAACTTTATTTCAATCTTTTATGCTCAAAAGTTTTTGACTGCTGAAAAATCAGACACTTCAGCAATCCAGGTTATTCTAGAATTAAAGAGATTATTTTAATATGGTATAATTTATTAAAAATTTAGATTTTTTAAACGTTTTAAACCTTTTTAGGACCAACACTTTTTTTTTTTAATTTTACTTCACCTCCTCAAGGCCGAGAAGGCCACTACAAACGAGGAGGCTACTTATTTTGTGGCTATAACCCTCTCTCAACTCTATAACTCCGAAACACGAACCTTGACGAACAAGGCCGCTGCGCGGAGAAACGAGTTGAGCGCGGTACTACCAGGGACGTGGTGGGGATCGAACTCGGAACCACTCGTTTATGAAGCGAGCGCTCTACCACTACGCCACTACCGCAAACAAAAACAACTATCCAAAAAATAAAAAACCGGCTGAAACGGAAGAAAAAGCCAATTTCTACACGAAAATTGGGAAACGAACTCGATATTTCTCAACCAAGTTTTTATTGTGTTCTTAAAGATGATCTTCAGCTTCGATCCTAAAAAAAAGTTGTCCAACCACTATTATCCGATGACCACAAAGAAAAGAGAGTTAAATTTGCAAATTGGATTCGTAACAATTATCGAAAAGCTGATACGATGCGAATCCTTTTTTCTGACGAAAAATTTTTTGATGTTGATGGTATTTATAACTCTCAAAATGACAGAATATGGGCTTCAAATCGTGTTGAAGCTGATAGCATCGGAGGAATCAAGCAGCGAAGAAAATTTCATTATATTAATCACCATTAGTTATTTTTGAAAAGGGTACCGTTAACCATGAAAGGTATACTGAAGAAGTTTTATCAGTTATCAAAAAATATGGCAATAAAGTATTTGGTGAAAACTGGATATTTCAGCAGGATGGTGCACGAGCACATACACACCGATTGACACAACAATGGTGTCAGGACAATTTTCCTGATTTTATTCCTTAAGAACGTTGAAAAAAAAAATTTCTCTATCTTTTGAATCTATTTTGAATGTTATCATAAATGGTATCATTATTTATGAATTACCCGATTTATATATATATATATATATATATATATATATATATATATATATATATATATATATATATATATATATATATATATATATATATATATATATATATATATATATATATATATATATACACACACACACACAAAAATCTTTTGCATATCATATATATGAATGTTTATTGTATATGCATGTTTAAAAGACTATGTTACAAAATCTCACAAATACATGTATATAATATATACATATGTATATATTATATTTGTATATATCTAATACTTTTACATACATATATGTAAACGCCTAATGTTTTTCTAAATAAAGTTGTACATAGTGTATTTCGTATGAACAGACATAGAAAAATTATTGGAAACACTTTCGAAAATCATGAAAAGAGCAAACTTTAGCATTCAGCATGTGTTTCTTTACCCAGAATCCCCAAAGAAAGCAATATTAAATTGTTAATGAGATGAAACAATTCTTAATTGTTTAATTTATCGAGTTCTTGTTTTTTTATTCAAATTTAATGAAACTTTAATAAGCTTTGAGTCAAATCTACGTATACAAAAAATTACCAGTTCAAAGTGTTATATATCTAAACTACATTTTGTCACGCACTACTAACTGCTAATGAACCCATCTGTCAATACCTGATTTAATCACCCTTGCTATTGATTATTTGAGCCACATGATTTGGCTATATTATATGATTTGGCAATACTTATATACCTTGATATCTTGATCATGATTCTATACATGAAGAGTGTTTCAATCAAGGATCGCTTAGTTAGTGGTGCATTTCATTGCATTAACCTTACGTTTAAGAAGACGCCAGAAGTTCTAAATAAGATTCATGTCAGGTGAGTTTCTTGGCCAGCTAAGCATAGGAAGACGAAAATCATCTATCAAAAACTCAAACTTGGAAAAATGAAATATCAATAATAAATGTTAGTGGCTGGATAGCTCAATTGGTTAGAGCGTCAAACGAAAAGTTAAAACTACGACTGTTGTATGATAAGAGTTCAAATCCTGCCACCGCCAACTCAGCGTTTGAGTAGTACTTCGGTACGCATAAGTGTTGGTCAATAATGGGCGCTACTTTAGATTAGTTTTAATGACTACACTGCCCAACAGTGTTTTGTATTGGAACCAAAATTAGTTATTTGTTATGTATTTCCACCCGCTGAATACTAAAATGACATTAGTTTAAAAAATAAAAGCAAAAATTTTCTTGTAAGGGTATAAATTTTCATTTTTTTTTTTTTAAAAAGAATTTTTTTTTGACTACCCATGTTTTATTTATGTTTAAAACTTGTGATATTAGTTATGTGCGTTTGCCAAAGTTTCTAGTCTAATCTATTCTTAGTAATTTTTTTTTCATTTACTAGTGTAATGTTTGACCAATCAATATGCCAATGAAGTGTGTAAATTTAGTGGACAATTTTCGTTACATTTGTGGTGAAATAATATTGTCCTCACAGAAAAAAACCATGATACCCTTTATGAAGACTGTTTACCTGTATTACTTCAATACGAAGGTCAGGGAACCAGGATTAATCATGGGCTTCACATATATGCTGTAGTTCTTGTTTGGTTACACTACGAGAATGGTTGAAAAATAAAATAAGATCTTTTTCTTTTGCTGTTCCTTTGGTATGGAGGAAGCCTAAAAACCATACAAAGAACTGCTATTTCCGCTTGACCCGACTCATTAAGGCAGGTTTGTTGATTAAGAAAATAGGAACAGTTAAATATCCGAACCTTCCATCTGCCATTCAACATATTCCACATTCGAATAGTTTACCAGTAATAGAGTTATATTTCCTACTCTACCACAAAGTTGTAACTTAGAAGCAAAAAATGAAGGCAGAAATGAAATACTAGTAGAAGAAAAAGAAGAAAACAAATCTTCTACATCAAATAATCCTGATTTTGTGTTAACAGATGATGTGCCAAACAGATTGAGTCAAGCAGAATTAAGTGACCTTCTTCGAGATCTGGACTTGTCATTGGAAAAGGTAGAACTTCTAGGGTCAAGACTAAAGCAATGAAATCCCCTCCAATTTGATATCAAGGTTTCACAGAAAATGATTGCAAAATCTGCTTTTTTTTTTGAGAAGAAAAATAATCTTGTTGTTGGCATTGATGTCTTTGGATTAATGTATTGTCCTCATTTGAACTATGGTCTAACTTAATGGAGATTATTCATAAACTAATCTAAGCTAAATTTAAAAGTTGTATTACTGCACAAAGGAGGCCGTCTTTCTTATATTCCTATTGACCATGCAGTTCACATGAAATAGACATATATAAAAATGAAAGTTCTCCTTAACTCAATTATTTATACTGAACACAAATAGAAAATTTGTGGTTATCTAAAAGTCATAGCTAAACATTTAGGAATGCAATTAGGGTATACTAAATACTGCTGCTTTTTTTGTATCTGGGAGAGTAGAGACAGAAGTTCACATATAAAAGAAGACAAGAAATTTTAACACAGATGAAAAAAATGTTGTTACTGACCCACTCGTGGATTCAAAGATGTTGTTCTTCCACCATTACATATTAAGTTAGGTTTAATAAAAATGTTTGTCAAAGGTATGAACAAAAAAAGAACTGGCTTTTAAGTATTTAAGAAAAAATTTCCAAAGATAAGTGATGCAAAAGTTAAGGAGGGTATTTTTGTTAGGCTACAAATACGTCAACTTATGAAGGATCCTGCATTTGACGAAGTTTTGAAGGGGAAAAAACGGAAATTTGGGAAACTCATAAGGGAGTGATTTAAGGATTTTTAGGCAACAAAAGAGATGATAACTACATTCAATTTGTAACAGTACTTCTGCAAAAATACCATCAACTCAGTCTTCTCTGTTTGTAATTAAATGCCAGCGCAAAAAAAGCGCTACCAGGATGATCATTTTTAAGTTAGCCTGCACGATTTAAAAAACTATTTTTTTCCTGCTATTTAAATTAAAATAAAAATAGAGAAAATAATGCTTTGAATAAACACTAGTTAAAATAATTTTTAAAAATCTTGTAAAAAAAAAGCCTTTTTTCATAAAAGTTGAACAAATGAACAAAAGGTTTTGTTGTACTTTAAAAAAAAGGGCTTTTACTTTTTTTTGGCAAGCGCTTTTTTATGCGCTCGATAAAGTATTTGCGAGCGTGTGGGCGAGCGCTTAAAGACTTGGGCGCGAAAACCCTGGCTAAACGGAGAAGACTGTCAACTTGGATGTAACATGTCCCTCAAGATTCATTTCATCCACTCAATTTCTTCCCTCTCAACCCCCCCTCCTCACCAAACAACGTTGTGTGGGGTATTGTATATCTCAGAAACTAGCGCTAATAAAAAAATTTCCTTGTCATTTTCATTTTTCTCACCCCAAAATTAGTATAATTTGAATAAAATTGCTAAAAATATACAAAAAAAAAAAAAAATTTTTTGTTGAAAATTCAAATAAAAAACAAAACAAAAAAAAAGCACTTTGTAAAAATTTTTTTTAACACCACAATTTTAAAATTCAAAGGTGGCGGCTATCTCTATTAAATTTTTATTTGCCCTGCCATTGCATGTAATAAATAAATTAGTAATAAAGATTTGCACTAACTGAACCTGACGTATGATCTCCCTTCGCACCTTTATTTGCATCAGAGAGCATACAGTGTAATGATGCTGTAAACTAAAATAAATATTTTATCGAACATTCTTTAAAGTAAATTTTTTGTTGTCAAATTTTTAAAAAAATTTTAAAAACCTTAAACCTTAACTTTAGTACGATTATAAAATATAAATTTTTCAAAAATGGCGTTCAGGGGGTATTCAAAACTTATTATTAAGTTTTACTTCTTAAGCGGAAATTTTAAAGTTTAACTCCTTAAGAGATTTTAAAGGTAAAAAACTATTTACTTTGTTTTTGGGTTCCTGCAACTCTAAAAGTGTAAAAAGACTTTTAAGTTTAAAAACTTCTTAACTTGACCCCAGGTTCCGAGCTGAGGTTCGTAATAAACTCGCTTGTAAAATATTTTGTGTATTAAGTAATATGCAATTCTATTAAAGTATTAAAAAATATTTTTGATTTATTAGGGGAAAAAAAAATTGAGCTCAGATTTTAACGTTATAATAAATAAAGTATATACAAAAATTGCGTTATGAATAATTTTATGGACTAAGTGTAATAGGACTTCCTAAAAAATCGGGAATTTTTGTTTCTTTTAAATTATGCTTGCTCTTACTTTTTGGTAGTTTGCGGGCGTTTCTAATAGCCGCTGAGGTTTTGGCTATCGTAGAAAAGCTCTTTTTGGGTAACACTAACACCCGCGATTGACCACCCATTCCGTTAAATCCTTGAGGCATTAAATGCCCACTGGATGAAGTTGTTTGGGTATGCAGTTTTATGTTAAGCTTTGACGATTTTATATCTCTTAATGGAACACGTTGTTCAGCCATATTGGTCGTTGCAACGCTCTTCAAGCCGTACCTAAAATTTTAAATAGTTAAGATAATATAATAAAATAATATTAATATAAAAATATTATGAATTTAATTCATAAAACAATATAAAATTTTTCAAATTTATATAAAAATATAAATTAATGTAAAATTTACTAATATATATAATGACGAGATTTTTAGTTAAATAATAATTTGACATACAACTCTGCAATCTCTATGTCGTCATTTTCGTGAAAACAACTTGCTAAGTCCGAGCTATCATCAAACAACTCTATAGTAGTGTTTTTATCGTTTTTATCGTTAAAACCTTCATCATAAAATCGAGAGCGTTTAATCACCGGCCTTGAACTAAAAAAACAACACGAATCCGATGTCACCATTTTAAAAATAAAAATACATCTGTTTGGTTTTGAAAAGTCAATAGTAGAAAAAAGAAATAAAAATCGAATTTTACCTTTCAGCAATATTTTTTTTGCTCGGTTGAATAAACGGACTGGAAATATTAAATGAACATTCGAGATTTTGTACTTTCTCCATAAGTTTCTTATTAATTTCATTTAGATGAGTCACATCTGTGGTTAGAGAGTCCACTTTTCCTCGATGTTCACGACACTTAAATAGAAATAATCTTCAAAAAAAAGTGTGAAAAAATATGAACATCCTAAAAAACGACTTAATATATACTACTACTTACACCATATAACTACTTTTTAATTTTTCATTACCTCTCGTTCTAATGTTTCAACGTGTCGTTTTAATTGTTTCTTTTCAGCTTCTAGTTTATTTTTTGTATCTTGTAATTTATCAAATGCACTAGAAAAATTATGGAAGATTTTTAAAAATTTAACTTATGAAATATTCATCACGTTTCAGACCGTTTTGGTAGCATAACTTAGCCAAACGTGTAAGAAACAATAATTAATAGAAATTTATTCCTTCTGAACATAAGAATTGCATATTTATATATAAATAAATTTATAAAATTTTGATATATACTTTTTCAGCAGTACTTCTTTTGCATTTAACAAACAATAAACTATTAAAAAAAAATTTTCTTCTGATGAGGGGGTTGTCCATAACAACCTCTCATCAGAAGATCTCCACCTTCCCAAAAAAACTTACGCTTTTAACCTACCTACCTAACCTACCTACCTAACATATATACTTTATGGACGATCCCAAATAATGCTCCAAAAAATAATTTAATGAGAAAATTTCTTTTACATTAATGAAGAGCGAAATTAAACATTAGAGTAAACGTCAGAACAGACATTAAACCTCAGAGCAGAAATTAAACTTCAGAGTAGTCACATTGAATCTCAGAGTTGAAATTCAAATTCAGAGTAGACATAAAAACTCAGAGTAGACATTAAACCTCAGGCCTTTTGACAGTAAAGTGCTCAAACTACTTTATCTTATCAGCAATTTTCCTTTTTAGAAATCTTTAATCGTCAGTTCAAATGTCAACTTTGTTGAAGTGTTAAAACTTGTACAAAAACCAAAACAACTCAGTCCAGACTATACCAGACTACTAATATTATACCTTAAAAATATTGATTTTTAGGTCAAATATTATTAGCCTTTTAGGTAAAATATTAATAATATTTTACTTCAAAATTTAAAAATTTTGGTATTAAAATTATTTTCTTGCCAAAACTATAAAGTAAAATTTTAGTATAAACTGTAATTTTTTTCTATCACCTTGATTTTTCTAAAAAAGCTAGTTTGGAACTTTTTCTCCACAGGTTTGTCTTTAGTATTAGCTGCACATTTATATTCTTGGATTCAGCTTAGAAGTTTCAAATGATATTAGCATTGATCAAAAAGAGTAGCTTAAAAATCAAAGTTTTTAATTTTATTTCTTTTCTTATAAATTACTAATGGTTGTGATTAACATAATACTTGTGATAAATATACATCTGAATAAAAAAAAATTATTTCTTTACAAGCAGGTATCAAAAAACAAAAATATTTACAACACTTTTAATCTTTAGCGACAGCTTGGGGTTTGCGGCTTGGGGTTTGCAGACTGCTGAATTTTAACCTTAACAAAACTCAGTTATTTACTGCTAACAACTATCGCAGCATTGTTGATATTCCTTTATTGATGATCTTACAGGGGTGTACCCTCCAGTATTTTTCCGGTCACCCTGCGGGTGACTGAAATAGTTTTTATTTCTTATTTAAGCTGTCCACTATGATAATCAGTTGTCTGGTATAACTATTTTTTAAAAATATTTTCTCTGGTGAAAATACAGAAAAGAAAATTAAAACGTCTGACTACTAAAAACAGTTCTAATAAGAAATAGTTTAATTAAAAGTTAATTAATAAAAAAAAAAAAGTGTAACCTGTTAAAAAAAACTATTAAGTAACTTTCGATACATATTGGTAAAGAGATAACTATAAATATTGGTAAAGAGATAACTATAAATACTTTTAAAGATCGCCATTTTTGTCATAGTCGATAGCAAAAAAGTTAAAAGTCTTAGCTGCAAAGAAAGGTTTTAAAAAAAGAAATATATATATATATATATATATATATATATATATATATATATATATATATATATATATATATATATATATATATGGTAATTGTGAATTCTTCATAAAATATATATACTTTTTAAAAACAGTCATTCACTATGTACACTGCCAATGGCAAATAATAAGATAATTTATCAAGTTTTGTTATGATGATGTTTTGCACTTGCTGACCACAATTTGTAAGGGTTTATTGTCTAATTTAAGCGAATAATTTCGTGTATAAATTTGATATCGGACTTTTCTTTTTCACATCCTTATATGTGTGCATATTTTTTTTAAAAAAATTGGTTGATCATTTACATTTCTTTTTTCTTACGATGTGTAGATAAATCACCACTGGTCCTACTAGGCATCGGTATAAGTGCCTAACCAAATATTCAGTATTCGAAAAAATCACTATTCGTGACATCTCTACATTTTCATTGTACTAAAACTTCCTTTTTTTTTAATAGAAAAAACGAATTTCCATGTGCATCATTGAGTGCATTCTAATAATGATTTTTTTGTGTATCTTAATGTTTTTTATTTTTTTAATTTTGTTTGACAAAGTTAAAATTGAAATTTATTTTACTAATGTAAAACAAGAGATTCAGTGTTATTAAGCATTCAATTACCGATTAACCTGATTCAAAGAATGACTTATGTTAATACATGCATTTTTACATTGATACATTGGCATTTGGAATTAAAAGGAAATGTAATTTTAAAACTCATTTAAATTGAGAAGAAATGGCTTTAAAATGTAACAACATTTAAAAAAACAGTAGTCACACTTTGAAATATTAAATCGCGTGTCTGCTTCTTTTTATCAATAGTATGACAATATGACAACAGCCATGCTATTATTATGGAATACTATTGTCATATTGTCATACTATTATTATGGAATACTATTGTCATATTGTCATGCTATTATTATGAAATGCTATTGTCATATTGTCATACTATTAATATGGAATACTATTGTCATATTGTCATACTATTTTTATGGAATGCCATTGTCATATTGTCATACTATTATTATGGAATACTATTGTCATATTGTCATGCTATTATTATGGAATACTATTGTCATATTGTCATGCTATTATTATGAAATGCTATTGTCATATTGTCATACTACTAATATGGAATACTATTGTCATATTTTCATACTATTTTTATGGAATGCCATTGTCATATTGTCATACTATTATTATGGAATACTATTGTCATATTGTCATGCTATTATTATGGAATACTATTGTCATATTGTCATGCTATTATTATGGAATACTATTGTCATATTGTCATGCTATTATTATGGAATACTGTTGTCATATTTAGACTGGTTTTTATAATGATGCCCTTTCATTTCTAAACCAAGTCCAAAAACTTATTACAAATGTAGTTAGACCTGCTCTATCTGCCAAGATTCAGCCTCTGTTCCATTGCCACAAGATAGAATCTCTTTCTCTTTTCTACAAATACCATAGTGGTCGCTGTTCAAACAGGCAACCATCTCTTGTTCCATCAACCAAAATTTAATCTTCTCTGAGTTGTCATTCAGCAAAGTTATATTCTTTTATTGTATCTGTTCCTTTATGCACTCCTTTAGTTTGTTTTTTCTTGCTTCACTAAAACAACATTAATTGTTTTAAGAACTGTTAGACATCAGTGCTGTTGGACATTGCAAAAGTTTTTCCAAAAACTGTTTATAATGGTGAGTATTTTTTAATGCAAGCGTTTTGTCCCACTCCTGTAAATAGAGCAGCAGTGTACTGCTTTTTTTTCCCAACATTTTTTAAGCTTTAATAAGGCAAGAGGGCTATGTATTGACTTTTTTACTTTCCAAGTTCGATGGGCTTTAAATATTCTTTTAAATTTTATACAATTATTTATTTACCACTGCCAAATCAAAACTTAGTAAGCAAGGTCATTACTCATAAAATTTATAAGTATGATCATTACAAAGTGAAACATAATTAGCAAGATCATTACACAGTGAAATTTAGTAAGCAAGGTCATTACACAGTGAAACTTAAATAACAAGGAAATTTAAAAGGTGAAAACTAATAAGCAAGATCATTACACAGTGAAACAAGTTAGGCATAGTACTTGCATGAATGTGGTTGGGTTCCATAACCAGTCAATTTAAGACAACTTTCTAAAAGTCTGTAAAAACTTTGAAAAAAATAGTATTTAATGATTTGGAAATGTGACTTTTTTCTTTTTTAAATATTTTCACCTCCTCAAGGTCAAAAAGTCCACTAAAGTCAAAGAGGCTACTTTAATTGTGTTTACAACTCTCTCTCGACTCTATAACTCTAAAACACAAACCTTGATAAACAAGGCCGCTACACAAAGAAACAAGTTAAGCCCGGTACAGACATGGTGGGGATTGAACTCGGAACTTCTGGCTTATGAGGCGAGCGCTCTACCACTACACCACTACTGCATTTTACTTACTGAAGTACTTAAAGTTATTAGAATTACATTAGTAGCAATTAGTAACCATTAGTAACAATAGTAACCATTAGTAACAATAATAACATTTAGTAATAATAGTATTCATTTATTTAAATGTAAAACTTTACTTAAGACTTTAAAACATTTGAAGTTAATTAAACTATATTAGCATTAGAAAAATTACATTAGTCATGGTGCTCTATACTGAAGGCCTATGGAGTCAAAATAAGACTTAATGAGTTTAATTAGTTTATTTAGAAATATTTATATTAAAATGTAATAAAAAGTTAAAATTTAAAATTAAAAAAAAAATTAAAACAAAGAAAATATTTGCATATATTTTAACAACAACATATACAAATCATTATTTTCTAAACAAATTTATGATAATTTTAAAACTTTTAATGCAGGTTCTTTATTAGATCTTGGTGTGGTTTGTGCACAAAAATTATTTAAAAATATATTAGCAAGTGTGTTGTATTGTTTTTGATTAATTTCAAAATAGTAAAATTAAGAAACCAGCAGAAAAATGTCACTTAAGGATTTACGACAAACTTTATCTTTTATTGAATGGAATAAGGCAAAGCAAAAAAAACAACCCATTGGCGAACATTGTCTGGTGGAATTTTAAGACCACCATCTATAGACTTGAGGTACTAACCAAACTTTTCATAATAAAATAATGTTTGGTTGAACAAATTTTTTTCATTATATTGATTTCTACGTACGTAACCAGCAATATAAATCAAAGACATTTTTGTAGTATCTGAAATTGATAACTCTAGTTTTTCTAAATTGTCAAATATTTCAATACCTGCTTCACATAAAACATATGTACAAGAAGCACACTCATGACCTGAACTAAAATCAAAAGAATCTATGTCAATATTTAAAGATAATAACAGTGATGTGTGATTTATATGCAATTTTTCTATAATTTGTTGAACATTTATAAAGTAGGCACCCCCGGAGCCTTGTCTCAATTTCCCAAATTCTCTTTCTAAGTGGTCTCTTGTAAACATACCAAGAAGAACGTAATCATGACTTGTTGCTAATAAATATTTACATAGCTTGACAATACCATAGCAAGTATGGTGAATCGATTTTGCAGTATCATTAGATAACTGCTTTACTCTTTTGCCATTTTTACAATACATTTCGAGAGCCATATCACCAAACTGAAGTAGAGTATTACGACGGCAATCATCAGGACTACAAATAGGTGCTTCTAGTGGATCATTGTGTCTTACATCAGCTCCACGACCTTTCACATTCAAAATTTTCCACCAGGTTATAACTTTATTTATAAATATTGCAGTATCCTTAGAATTTGAAATTATTTGAGAATAGGTCAGCAAGGCATGATATGTCTTATCTGAAAAAACTTTAAGGCAAGTAGATACATTTTGCCTTTCAATTGGCTTGGGAGCTATTGCAATTTCATTTAAGTCTGACAATTTGACTAACTTTTCTGATTATAATTGATATAAGCATTTTTGGTGCTCCCATTTAGCTGTTCTTTGAATACCATTATCACTGTACACTAGTTTCCTGGTTTTTTCTGTAAGCCATAGATTCCTAATGTTTTTCAAAGATGAACAAAGTCAAACAGTAAATACAATCTTGGAAATCTTCCGTTTTCCAAGATTTTTCCGGAATAGTACGATATAATTTAAAAAATGCTTGGTTTACACGATTACCATCACAGATAACAACTTTATGCTGGAGTTTATTTGTTCAAACAGAAAATTTGAACTTAATTTTGAAATTAAAATCATCTTATACAAGAAATTTTGGACCACCTTTGAGACATACTATCATAATTCCCAACACAGTTTTAGCCAATAATGATGGATCATCTGAAGATTTACCAAACAATGTTCCACCATGGTAAACTTTACCATGAGTGTTAGGAGTTATATATATAACTCCTAACACTCTTAAGAGTTGACAAGTAAAAATACAGTGTTTTTAAATTATTTACAAAAATTTAAAATATAATTTAAAAAACATTAATAATACAAAGTTATTGGAAATATAAAAGAATAAGCAAAATTAATTTGAAAAAGTTAAAAATCCTTTAGCAAGTTTTACAATGCGAGCATTTCATCTTGGCAATTTTTAAAATATTAAAATAGGCCCCCAGTCACGGCTTACGGTTGCGCGATGAATAGGCCTTTAGTATAGAGCGCCATGACATTAGTATATAACAAAAATATACAGTTTTCTAAATGTAAAAACTTCAAATGTTTAAAAGACTTTTAAACATTTGAAGTTTTAAACATTGGTATTTCTAGTTATGTGAAAAGATTTTTTAAAGACTTAAAAGTATTTAAATTCATTAAAATTATACTAGTATAAAAATATACATTCATGTGAAGAGGTTACAAAGTAAAAAAATAGTTTCTGTTTAAAAAAGAAATAAGGTTTGATTACTATTAGTATTATACATGATTTATTTTGATGTTAAAATTTGATGTATACTAGTTTATTATATATTACATATATTAAAGTTTGATGTATATATGCTTTTAATAAACTTTAAAGAAAATTTTTATAGAAACTAAAATTGAATTTACAAATAAACTTTGCTCCAATCGCTATCAAATATAGATTGAGCGAAACTTTTATTTGTTTAAAACAAAATATGCAAAGATTTTAATGTAAACGTAAAGGTGGTATAACATTGTAGAGATTCAATGTAAACTTTGTAACATTGATGTAAATGATGTAAAGATATACTTTAGGTTAAAATTACCTAGTGCAGTCAATTTTACTATTTTGTTGCCGATAACATTTTATTTATTAGAATTTTTATTTTAGTTTTAACTAATAAAATTTAATAAACACTTTGAAAAAATTGCTACAAGTATTTTTATAAACAATATTATAAGTTAAAAATTAAAAAAATTAAATTAAGTTTAAAAATAAGAAAAATAAAAACTCATTTTTCAAATAAACTTCTTAGTCTTTAAAATCATACAAGAGTAAACTTTTTTAACCAATCAGCTAATTGGAAACTTGTAACAGTTTAAAAGTTAAACACTGTTTGATTAATGAAAATCACCAAAATAAATAAATAAAGAATGAATAGACAAAATCTTATCATTAAAAACAGAGAAAAAAAATACAGTAACTTAAGCATAAGTAAAAGGCTGTATTATGAAGAATCGTCATGGAAATCCTATTTAATGAAGCAATTTCCTTTTTTCATCATTATTATTTTTAAAAACACATTTTTAATAGAAGCAAAATTTAAATTAAAAGACATTTGAAAAATTGCTCTCTAATATCAATACCACTAATACAAATTGAGTTTCTATACATTTTTTAAAATTATTTAAAAAAATTTTTAACCTTTTTTTTGTTTTTTTTTTTGTTTTATATATTTTATTTATAATTTTGAAAAATATCATGAAGACCAGTCAGGAAAGTTGGTTTGTAGACTTATAGGTAAGTTGGTTAATGCAAAGCTTTACCTAATGCTAAGCTTTAGCTGTCTGACTTCAAAGATTTATAAACCTCAAAGTAATATATTTATAAATGATTTAAACGCTTTTTAATAATTAAATTAAAAAATTCCATACTTTTTTAAAATAATATACGATGTTTTTATCTGAATAAGAGATTCTGATGAGTCAGCACAGTTTTTTAAAATGGATTCCACTTCCTGGCGATCAGCTTTAACTAATACATTGATGCTAAAATGACAAAAACAAAAAAACAAATAAAAAAACTTTAATTACAAATAAACTTGTTTACCTTGGGTAGTCAGATAATTTGGGTACTAGTTGATCTTGGATAATCAAGTAACTTGGCTACTTGTTTATTTCGGGTAATCATGTAACTTGTAATTAATTAGGCTATAAAACCTATTTAGTCACAAGTAACTATTGAGGTTAACTCCAGTATAAAACTTACTTTGCAAAACTATTGAGTTTCTTTTCTAGTGAAACAACTTCAGCTTTTGATTTTTCATAATCTGATTGGACTTTTTCCAAATAAGATATTTGTTTCTAGGTAATAAAATGAATTACATAGTATAACAACCATTAAACAGATGACATATTGACATCCAAGAAATAAAAATCCAAGTCCATAATGTTTAAGTTTATTTGTTTCAACCTGGCAACTTTATTGCCATAATTGAATACAGTTCATTTTTATTTACAAACTAAAATTGCAATTTTAACTTTTAAATACAATGAATGAATCAAAATTTATATTTTTATTTCTATTTGTAATAAATTGTAATTAATTTATTTTGGTTTCTACAAACAAAAACCTCTTACTCTTTCCACCCTCTTTTTACCCTTATTCCACCACCTTTCTAACATTTTTTTACCTTTCACTTCCACCCACTAACCTAATATAATACAATTTATATGGATAAAATAAACTTCCACTAATCAAACATTGACAATTTTTAGGAGTATTGTATCTGCTTGACTCCTGCATGACTAGTCATTCAAATTGTAATAAATTCTTTAGTCATTAATATAATACATAAAACAAAATGAACACTAATGCCCTGTTGGAATGTGTGAAAACATAAAATATAGATAAAGCTCATATCTTATATAGTAGTACGCCCTGTTGAAAGTAAAGACATGAAGAAAGTATTTAAGCCACTAAATGTTTTGAGAAAAGCTATTTTAATAAGACATATAACAAAACAAGAAATAACCAAAAAAAGTTTTGAATGTTTAAATTTTTTTTATTTTAAACATCTTCGCTTCCAACAAGGCTGCAAGCAACCACTAATTAGAGTTGGAAGTTACTGAAAGAGAAAAAATGAAGATTGTAGAGCAAGATAAGGATTGGCAGATGACTTAAAAGATTGCAAATTATATGAATTAGGAAAGCAAGATGAAGGAAGCGAATTCCAAAGAACTGATGTTCGAGAGGCGAATTCCAAATTAAAAAATAATGTTATTAAATAAGTTTTTAAATAATAATTTTTTTTTGTATGACTTTTATGTTCAAGTTTACATATAAAGAGTATTGAAACAAAAATAGAAAAAAATATTGCAATGATGTGTAGGAACAACACTTTTTAAATTAACAACTTTCTGAAAAAGTTTATGTATCTTGTTTATTAACTCTTATTTGATTTACTATAATGCATGAGCAAGTGAAGGGCTTAACAATAAGAGTACTTAAGTCACAAATAAAAAAATAATTTTGAGAAAACTTATTTTGATCAGTTATTTCAAATTTTGAACATTAAATGTCTAATCAAAATAAATTTTTTCAAAAACTTACAATTGTAACTTCAGTACTTCTAGTATTAAAATTTGATTTAATGACAATCAAAAACTAATAATAACTTTTGTTACTTTTAAAATGCTGTTGTGTCCCTGTGCATTTTGCAAAAGCTCACTCATGCTCTGTAACTCATGTGTTAAAGAACTAATTTCTTTTTCATATGACAACTGTTTTTCTTTAATTTTTAAACACTCTTGTTCTAAAATTAAAAAAAAAAATTAGAAAACAGCCATAAAAAATTCTGTAATATTAAATATAGTATTCAAAATAAAGAAGTAAAATTTTTTTAAAAAAAAATTTATAAATAAAAAAACCTTTTAAAGTTAGATTAATTTTCAAGTCATCCATTTGAACCTAAAAAAAATTACATTTCTCTACTCAAAAACAAATATCATAAAAATATTCAATTTTATGAAATAAAATTATATTGAAAGAAAAATAAAATAGTATTAGAAGGAATGAAGTAGATAAACAAATATATTATGTGTAAAAATTTATAGAAAGTTATCAAAACAAATTCATAAGAGTTTATTTTATATTTTCTGCTTAATTTGCTTCACCCTTTTAATAATCTTATATTTTACAATACTTAAATTTTTTACAACTATTCATGAAAAATTATAAAGTCGTTTATAAATTAAAAAGATTTCCAAATCAAGCTTTTGAAACATATGAAAATCTTTTCTTGTAATAGATAATTTTTAAAGTAAATAAATAACATATAACAATATATAACAATAAAATAAATAACTTAAAAAATAATAAGTATAAAAATATTAAAAATAAAAAATTAAACAAAAAACTTTTATTTATCCATCTCAAGTCATCTCAAAAATTTTTAATCGAAAACTTAACCTTCAATGTTGAGACATCGACATTTGAGTCATCTGTAACTGCTAGATCAAAAAATAACTTTATAGGAGTTGTAAATTTATGTCGACACTGTGGACAAGTAGGTGAACATTCCTTCCAAGCTACCAAACTATAATTTTTAAAAGTTTAAAATATTATCTTAATCATTTAAATCCATTCATTATAATTCATTTACTATAAACTTTTAGTCATTTTAATGTTTTACATGGATTAATATGTTTTTAATAACATTTTAACCATAAGAAACAACCATAAAAAGTATGCAAAACACACAGTACAACTACAGATACACATACAATTGTAATAATTAATATACATATATATATATATATATATATATATATATATATATATATATATATATATATATATATATATATTATATATATATATATATATATTTATATATATATATATATATATATATATATATATTTATATATATATATATATATATATATATATATATATATATATATATATATATATATATATATATATATATATATATATATATATATATATAAATATATATATATATATATATATATATATATATATATATATATATATATATATATATATATATATATATATATATATATATTGAATATTACAATTAATTTTATAATTTATAAAATGTTGAAAATTCATTGTCAATTCCACTTAAGTTTAGCTTTACAGCTTTTAGTTCACAAAAGCTTTTAATTTTAATTTTAACATAAAAGTATTTATTAGTGCAAAAATAATGTCCAAGGGTATTGAAATTTAAATAGTTTATGTCAGAATCATTATTTATCTTAACAATAAATATACTTATCAATTATATTTTTAACATTTTTTTTTGACTTAAACTAGTAACATTGAAAAACCTCTTCTATTTCATTCTAATAAAATCAATTCAAAAAGAAAAATATGTTATTGTAAAACAAAAAATCGAAGAATGGTTCAGTGGCAAAAAATCTGCAGTGGCAAAAAAAAAAAAGCAAAGACCGGAAATAAGCTTTTTCAAAATTTAAGTCTAATTCTGAAAGAGACCAAAAAATTCACAAGCCAATTTTTGACTAGTGAAAATTTGCTAGTGAAAAATACAACACAAGTTTACTTATAAAAAAATAAAAATTGCTCTCAAAGAAAAGTTAGTTCAATCAGAAGCTGAAAATGTGTCAGTCTGATTTGATGCATGGTCATCATTTCATCATGGCTGTCTGGGAATGATAGTTCACTATATTTTTAAAGACTTGACTAAAAAACAGTATTAAATTCAGCATCACTTGTTCTTAATTTGATGAAAGGCATACTGCAAAAAACATGCAGAAATTTTTTTATATGTATTATTAAAACATAAAAAAAGAACTGTTTTCAGATCTAATCATTGACAAATTGATTGTAAAGAGGTAAAAAGTGTGTATGTGTGTGTGTGCCCTAAGTACTATGATAAACTGATCTTATTATTAAGGAAAGCGATGCTTTCAATAGTTTTTCTGTTGGTAAATGTGCTAGTGGTAGTATTATAAAAATTGATTATCGTTATAATCATTATATCAATCAATATATCATTATAATCATCATATATACATGCAGTAGTGGTGTAGTGGTAGAGCGCTCGCTTCATAAACAAGTGGTTCTGAGTTCGATCCCCACCACGTCCCTGGTAGTACCGCGTTCAACACGTTTATCCGCGCAGCGGTCTTATTTGTCAAGGTTCGTGTTTCGGAGTTATAGAGTTGAGAGAGGGTTATAACCACAAATAAGTAACCTCCTCGTCTGTAGTGGCCTTCTCGGCCTTGAGGAGGTGAATTAAAAAAAAAGAATAAAATAAAAATAAAATATCAATCAAAATATCATTACAAAAAAATACTCAGTCCTAGTTTGAAAACAGGTTACAAGGGCATCTTGTAAGGCGAAAAATAGCCTAAACCTTTTCATAATGTCATAATTTAAACTAGAAAATGGTATTAAAAAAAATTTTCCAAGTGTGTTAAATTTACGCTAACAACTTCTTTATTTGTCCTAACATTTGACTTGCTTTACTAATTACCATATTTATTTGATCTTTCCATTTAAAATATAACTTTAAGTTTTGAACTCAGAACCAATAAATTGTATACCATTAACAAAAAATGAACATTTATTATTGATAGAGCTGTATTACATCACAACTTGTGCATATTGAATTTCAGTAACTATAGTAAGTATTTAATTAAATCATCCTGGATGTCTTTGACATGCAAATCTAAATTTACTATCAATAAAATTTTGATATCTTCAACATATAGCTTTTTTGATTATATTATATAAATCATTAATGTAAACAACAAAAATAAATGGTCGAATAAATAAACCCTGAAGCACACCCCTAAAAGCAAAAATCCAATCTGAGACACTATGTCATCCTGAACTCACTCAATATTTTAAAAATATTTGTTTTCAATAGACTTGTTGTAAATGACTTTTTTTATGAACCCATGTTAATATTCCTTTAGAAAATTTTTTTTTTGAAAAAGTAAGTTTCAATTTTGTTAAAAATAATTCATTCTAGCATCTTGCATGCCACTAAAGTAAAGGGAACTAGCTTGCAACTCCCTGCAACTGCTTTGTCATTTTTTTTTTAAAAAAAAGAGTTTGATTTGCAGATCTAAATAGAATCTAGATTTAGCTTTAAGCTAATGAAAATTAATGTTAATGGAAGTGCAAATACTTTTTATGAGTTCTGGAAAAATCAGAAGATGAAACTTATCAGGTTTATTTTCATTAAGATTCTAAAGCCTGACTCAAATTTAGTAAAACCACTTTCAGCTTCAATAAAAAATACATTATGAAAACATTTGTTTAAAATTTTAAGCTGACCTTTGAAATGGCATCATATCTTTATTCTTTGACTAAATCTTTTACTACTAACTGATTATATAAATAAATAATAATTGTAATATATAGTTTATAAAGGGATTTTTTGCTTTTCTGTGCATTTTAACTAAGTCTTGTTCATAAGTAATAAGACAATTCCTTACTTCAAGTTATTTTTGACATAACATACAATATTCTTTACTAAAATTTCTTTTTATTGTTCAGCATAATTTCTGTATCTTCCTTTCTTTTTATTGTCCAGCATAATTTCTGTATTTTCCTCTTTTTAATTAGAGATTTAAGTTCTATATTAATTTAAAGAGTTTCTTTATTCTTAAAAATAATAATTTAAATAATTATTAAAACAAATTTGCAATCTATAAAAAAGTGTAACAAACAAATAACTGTAGATAAGTTTTAATTCCAGATTAACTTTTTAACTAAATTAATTATTTTGGTATTTTCCAGTTAAATTTTAATAAACTTTGATAAATTTAATTTTTTTACCAATGATAGTGAAATGTATGTCCACCTATAAAAATAGTTGTTAAGTCAAGTCAAATATCTAAAGATCAACATTTTTGTCATAGATTTAATTAAATCATGTGAAAAGTTTTTAATTAGCAATCTGAAAAACTTTCATTTTTAAAACTATTTTGCCAAATAAAAATTAATAAAACAAATACCTTATTCATAAAAACTTTTTTTATTAAACTATACTTGAAAAGATACAAAGGCATGCAGCTACATCAGTAAGTGTCAGTAAATCTGAGCAAATGGTGCATGTTGAACGATTCATTTATTTGAAATTAGCCTTTTTCTTATAAATTTATTGAACGCATTCTATAAAATGACTTTTTTGTAGTATAAAGAATTAATATTGTGTGTACATAACAGAAATAACAAATTAAACAGATTTAAATTTTTTTTTTTAAATCTTCAGCTAAAATATATTAATTTTTATACAAAAACAAAAAGTCAAATCAATTTTTTTTTTATTTGCCATGTTTTTTAAGTCTTATGCAACATTAATTAATAATAATTCAAAACATTTGAACAACTTAAAACAATAATTTGGCTATTCATTAAGTTATCCATCAAGACATAAATTAATAATTCTGGACAAAATTAATCCCATTATATATATATATATATATATATATATATATATATATATATATATATATATATATATATATATATATATATATATATATATATATATATATATATATATATATATATATATATATATATATATATATATATATATATATATATATATATATATACTATACTGGTATATATATATATATATATATATATATATATATATATATATATATATATATATACATATATATATATATATATATATATATATATATATATATATATATATATATATATATATATATATATATTTGAAATCTAACATTATATTACATATATATATATATATATATATATATATATAATATATATATATATATATATATATATATATATATATATATATATATATATATATATATATATATATACAGTGCTGACTGGTGGTGCGTGCATTGCACACAGGAGGCAAATTTTAAAATCAACAGTAAATGAAATATTGCCAAAAAAATACATCGTTCTGATAAAATTTCATCATTATTAAGGGCGGAAATTATTATTTGCACACACTAAGAAATGCTTACAAGCCAGCTGTATATATATATATATATATATATATATATATATATATATATATATATATATATATATATATATATATATAATATATATATATATATATATATATATATATATATATATATATATATATATATATATATATAGAGAGAGAGAGAGAGAGAGAGAGAGAGAGAGAAGAGAGAGACATACACATATATAAAACTTTGAGTTCAAAAATATTTAATAATTAAAAATATATATTTAACATAAAAATACAATAAAAAAGTCAATTATAAAGGTAAGGGTTTAACCTAAAAATGATCAAATACTAAAAAAAAACACTAGTATTTAGAATGTTTTCTTTTTGCTTTAGTAACATCACTATTTGCTTCGAGATTTATATAAACTTAAATTAAATTTATGTGGTATATTCTACTTTTCCCTCAGAAATACTTGGAAACATTTCCCTGCATTTGTGGAGCCAATTAATTACATTCCAGATGATACTGTATGTTGGTGATTACTTACTGGTGAATGCTCTAGGGAATCTTACCTATAGCATTCACTGGTAAGTAATTCCTTACTTTAATTAAATCTCATACCTCAGAAAATTAAATACAACTCCAAACTTGCACAGAATCTCTTCCATGTTTAATGGATGTGTTTAAACACTCAAGTTAATAACCTTTTTTAAATTTTTCTTCTAACATTCTTGCTTTTCTTGCAACTAAAATTTTTTAATTTAAACTCATTTGTGTACAGGACACAATTAAACACTTAAATATTTTTAATATTTAAATAAAAGACCAATATTTAAAACTTTTAAACTATTGTTCTCAAGTTCTCTAAGCTTAGGTGGTCTATCACTTTTCTTTTTATCAATGACAGCCCTGTTTCTTTGAAATTATTAAGTATTTCTCTGAAGGCAGCCTTTGAAACAGTTGTTATGGTCACAATCTGTTGCTGTGTATACTCTTCCTGGTGTAATACAATAATTTTTTTTTTATCTAACATTGACACTTCAAATTGAATAAATCTTTACGAAATTCCAACAACTATTTTACTTATTTCTCACTAAGATCAATTTCTAGACTTTTAGAGACAAGTAAGAAAAATAATACAAAACAAAGTCAAATAACACAATAAGCCTATGTCATTTAGAGTAACCTTCCAATCAGCATTTATAGTAGTAACATCTAATCTCTCATCTAAAATTATATTTAGGGTTGCCATTAAAAAATAAACAAATAAATTGGCCGCATGTATGACAAACTTTTGTTTATTTTTAAGTTTATAATTTCTTTAAACCTTTTCAAGACAATATTAAATGTAAAAATTATATTAAAAAAATTAAACTTGATTAAGTTAAGAAAACATTATTTTCGGAAAGTTATGAAAACATTATTTAAATATCACAAAAGAAGAATATATCAAAACAATTAAATTTTTTGAATTTTTCGCAGACTATTATCTCGTTACAGTCCGCAACTGCCTTTAAATCCTAATTACCTTATGACCAAGTTTTTCTTTTTCTTATTGCGATAATTGAGGTGCTCCAACTTCTTGCTCTGCAATATGACCGTCAGTCATATCACAGAGCACCCCATTGAAGAGCATTATCTTCAGTGAGGATCCTTCCTTACTAATGTCACAAATGTAGCCAGAGCTGACATCAAACCACGGGCCTTTTGAAACGAGCGATTCTAACCAACAGCATAGGCATTGGTATGCTTCTGTAATTTTTTTTCTCTGCAATAAGACTGTAAAGGTCTTTATAGTTTTATTGCAGAGCACCGTGGAAGTTCATTTAACAAGGAAGTTCACACCTCCTTCCTTACCAATGCCGCTTATTAAGATGGAGCCGGCGTACTGTGGAAAATAGTATTACAAAAACGTACCATAAATGTTTTTTGCTCAAATTTCAATTTCACTCCAGAAATTATACTCTAATTTTTTTAATATTTTAATAGTTAATATTTACTATAATGTAGAGATTTCAGCTATTTTTATGTAAAAAGATAGTTTTTGAAGCCCTACTGTTTCATATTTTTGTAAATGTTGAACTGAAACTTATTTGCTTCATCACTTTAAAAATTATTTTTTATAATACTTTTCATGAATGAATGTTATACATTTTTGAAAGCATTATGTAATGGAGATTTTAGAACAAATTTATATTTTTAATTATATAGTTTTGTTTACTAATAATTAATTGAACTATAAAATGAGCTAGAAAATAAATTTTCTTAAATTTCACCGATATTTTTAGCAGTCACCCATGCTTCTATACACTTCATTTCTATAACTTATTTGTAGCTTAGGTGTCTATAAAATTAATTTATTAAAAATCAGGTGCGGATACGTGCGGCTTCCAAAATTATAGATGAAATAGTGTTAAAAATTAGAAAACAGAAAACCTCTTTATCGTAGTTTCAGACAATATACATAGTCCTCCAAAACAATAGCAACCAAATAAAATAAAATAAATTTTCTACTTTGATTACTTTGATTACAGCAATTTTGTTTTTTTTAATTACGCTTTAAATGAAAAAAATGGTTAATATTATAAAATGGTTAATATAAAAAAAAAATGGTTAATATAATAAAAAAGATTTTAGCATAATAAGACTACTTGAAAATAAATAAACGTGATTTTTTTTTTTTTGCATTGGTATTTTAACGCAAAAACGAGGTCCTCCAAAACATTAGCAACTTTTTTAAAACTACTGTAAAAAGTTTTAATATCAATAGTTAATGGCATATCCATTATTTTTTAGGATCAAGGAACATCTTCTTGGCATAGAATCTATGAGTTTATTAGTTTTTTCTTGTGTAATCTCATTTCACATGGTTTCAATAGCTTTATATAGCGTTTTTGAAGGGTCCTTTGTGTTTTAGGGAGAGTTCAACTTGGTACCATAAATTTTCAATCGTGTTGAGATCAGTTGATTGAGCTGGCCTTTTGATTACTTTAATTTTATTTGTATCAAACCATTTTTTAACGAGTTTAGAGGTGTGTTTGGGGTCGCTGTTTTGTTGAAATGTCCATAAAAGAGGATTATCAGTATGAGGAACCACTTTTTCCTTGAGAATATCACGATAAACATACTGATCCATAATGTCATTTATTCGGTAAATAGGTCCAACTCCACTAAAACCAGAAAAACAACCCCAAACCATTGCACTTTTTCCACCACCATGCTTGTTCCACTTGTTCCACCGCCATGTTTGTTTCCACCACCATGATTGTTCCTCTTGTGTATTTAGGATTTAAGCGTTTACCTTTAGGTCTACGTACCTTTAAATTTCCATCAGGACTTTTCAAATTGTACTTTGATTCATCGCTCCAGAGTACTCTATTCCAATACTTTATAGTCCAGTCTCTATGAGAATTTGCAAACTTAATTCTAATTTTTTTATTCTTCTGAGAAATGAAAGGTTTTTTTGCTGCTCTATAGCTCAAAAGTCCTGAAAGTTGTAACCGTCTACAAACTGTATTTTGAGAAGCGAAAAGTTTCAGTTTTTTAATAGTATCATTAGCGCTGTCAAAAGGATTTTTTTTAACATGACGAAAATTTTTCCATTGGTGAAACGACATGTTTTGAGTGGTCTTCCGCCCTTATGTTCTGTTTCTCCAGATTTCTCCAGTTTCTCCGACTCCAGTTGTTAAAATTTTTTGAGTACAACTCCGACTCCAACGCCGACTCTTACTCCAACTCCAAAGCAAAATTTTTGAAAAATTCTTTGAATTCTTTAAAAAATATTGCGCGATAAGTTGAAATTTTTTTTTGACAAATTTATGAAACATTCTTTGAGGTTTAGTATGAACGTACGGTTAATTGAATGTTTTGTACATGCACGTGCAATACCAAGAAACTTTACTATCGGAGTCGGAGTCGCGATAATTTTTAGCGACTCCGACTCCGAATCCGCTAAAATTGTTGCAACTCCGCAACTCCGACTCCACAGCCCTGAAAATTAGAGAAGCATACCAATTTATTCTTGTTTCCTGCCATTATAATCCAAAACAGCATATATACGCGATCTTAAATTGATATTATAATAATTTCAACACTCCATATTCATCTCAGGACAAAAATTAACAATTAGTTGATTCTCATTGGTTAAGTACTTATAATTGCAACACTACAATTCCCTTGGGCATTATTTCCACACTTGTGCTGCTGATTT